AGTTTAGTAATGGTTGTCGTCGACATAGAGTGCAAGAACAGGTTTGGTCGACGGAAAAATTAACTTTATGAAATTGCTCCAGATAAAAAATATTCAAAGTTAATACCGACAAAAATATATTTAAGTCATCCAAATATTCAAAGATTTTACAAGTTTAATCGATACAAATTACATTGAATTTTCACTGTCTTCTTCTACGCTTGAATAAAAGCCAGGAAAGATCTTTACCGATATGGTATTGGAAATGCAGGATAATTCCAGACATTAACTGGAAGATGTGCGCGAGATGGTGACTCTCATCATAGTAGGGTCCGGACCTGTCACTATAATCAACTCGTTCAAGTTCTCCATGCTATCTGCAACCAATTCGGGGATGCGCTAGGGAGAGTAATGTGAAAATATAGAACAATAGTTAAAAATATAACCCGGACGAAATAGAAAAATAGTTAAAAATCAAACTACGCAATAAGATTTTGTTGAAAGACACTTACGAGTCGGGTGCTGAAGAACTCATCTTCCCGCAGCAGAGTAACAAAAGTTTGCGGCATATTTTGAGGCGTTTCAGGAGTTGGTCCCGTCGTTCCCTTTCCTGTAAAATTTATGACTCGGACTAGAGAGAAGATTAATAGCGGATGTTTTTAGGCTTTCAAGTGCGGCCAAAGTTCTTAAAAAGAATTTCTAACATCCCGCCCAATTTTTTGAGATCCCGCTGAGAATTAAAAATAATTTCTAACATCCCGCCCAATTTTTTGATTTCGGCGGCCAAAGATTTTCAACACCCCGGCCGGCCTTAAAAGGGACATGAGTTATCCTCTAAATCTATAATTTTTTAACAAATTTTTTTAATATGTACTTAAATACCGAAAAGATAAAAAATATAAATCTTTAAGATATTAAAATGACAAATTAAAATAAAATTATTTGTATTATGTATGGAATATAACTAAATAGATATATATTTTTTATTAATCACAATCAATGAATGATATTGATTGCGTTATAGTTTTATTCGCGGATGTAATTGATATTATAAATGAAAAAATATAATACTCCGAAGTAGTCATCGAAATGCGGTTAGTTTAGTTGCGGTTAATTTAGTTGCGGACACGTCTTCTTCGGTCATGGGTAGTCAGAGGTCATTTAGTGGCTCGGGTGTCTGACTGGTTGTGGCTATTGTGGTTAGTTTAGTTGCGGACACATCTTCTTCGGGCATGGGGTAGTCAGTGGTCATCGTGTGGCTCGAGTGTCTGACTGGTTGTGGCTATTGCGATTAGTTTAGTTGCGGACAC